CAATCCTCACTAAACTCCTAAGGTCGTCTCTCAAAAGTGAGAAGAAGCGATCACAAATGATCCGTTGTCAAAGTCCCAGGAAATGTGAAGTTTAGCCAACAATCTGGTCCTTTGAGTAGCTTTAGTGGTGATATTACTAATACCACATTATTGTTGTTATTACAGTGGTATAGTTGTCTCTTTGTAGGACACTGATTTAAATTATTCTTAAACTATGATTTTTTTTTATGCTGTGTATGTAATTTGTTATATGTAGTGTTGTCTTTTATCTGGACCCTGAGTCTGTAATAACTTTTTTTTTTTTATTGATTATATGCTTATGTTTATGTTTGTCAATTTTCTTTAATCAATAAATGTTGAGTCATCAACCATTAAAATGTCAAGAATTTGTGATGGATGTTTTTCTGAAAGTGGCATAGTGCAACAACATTTGCTGCCCAGTGTTCAAATGAATATAATTGTGCACCAGACTAAGAAGACATTTTAATAAAAATATCGGTTGAATTCAGCCTTCAGTTTCTTGTTGGTGTCTATCTACGCCGGGATCCTGAGTCGTGGCTGATCCTGTTGCTGTGGTCCTGGATCCTGAGTCCTGAGTCCTGCATCCTGAGTCCTGGACTTCGAGTCGTGGCTGAACCTGTCTCTGCGGTCCTGCCTGACTCTCATCATACTACTTCCCTGATGGCTCCCACAGGATTGTTGACATCCTCGTGGATTCATCTTCTTATTATAGACACATGCATTTCCAAACATTTGGACTACCTACGCTGTAAAATGTATTATCTCTTCGATTTACACACGGCATCTATTGCACGTCTGTCCGTCCTGGGAGAGGGATCCCTCCTCTGTTGCTCTCCCTGAGGTTTCTCCCATGTTCCCCTTTAAACTGTGGGGTTTCTCTGGAAGTTTTTCCTTGTACGATGTGAGGGTCTAAGGACAGAGGGGGTCGTATTGTCATACTGATATTCTGTACAAACTGTGAAGTCCACTGAGACTAATGTAACATTTGTGATATTGGGCTATATAAATAAACATTGATTGACTGATTGATTCAGTGAGCAAATCTCTACATCTACATTTCCGAGGAAAATATTTCTGTACATGTTTTGTTTTAAAGGTCACCTATCATGGTGTTTTTAGGCAATAGCATAGGTCTTAGATATATGAAAATATATAAAAAACATGTCTATGAAGTGTTTTGCTCAAAATACCAAACAGATCACCCATTCTAGCCATGCCTCATATCCCTCTATTTCACTTCCTGTTTCAAAAGTGCTGATTCTGGGTATAAAGCTTTAAAAAATAAAAATATTGATACAAAATAAAAAAAGAGGGGTGGAGCTTATGCGGGAGATTCTACCGGCAGATTCTGCGGTGATGAAACGCCATATCATGGATTATCAAGGGTTATTTCTGAAACAGTATGGAGCTCAAAGGCTTTCTCTCTTGCCGGTTAAACCACAAGGTGAGTTCCTTTTTATTTCCTGCTTCTTCACACACATGCTCTCCAGTACAGGTTAGCTCTGAGTGTTAGCGATGCTAATGTAAACACCGACCATATTACGTCCAAAACAGTCGGGCATTGTTTCTGATAGCAACTTTTCTGATAGTGCCGTGGGTCCGCGGCCGATATGACGTCAAACCGCCGCAAATCTGGATCAGCTCCGTTGTACCTCAGTTTTTAGAGATTTGGGTACGGAGGAAAAGAGAGAGGGTTTTATTTTCTGACGCTGCGTGAGTCTCCTGACACACCGGGGACACATAGTTATGTATAAAAGACATCAAAAAGTGCATTTTGCATGATAGGTCCCCTTTAAAATAACTGCCATGTGTGGAAAAAACTAAAATAAAAAAATGTTAAAAGGAAGAAAGAAGAAACCAAGATATTTAGGATAGAGAATGTGTCCTCTGCTGTGCATTGAAATAACAGATGCATGAAATTAAAAACACAACTCAGTGGAAACCATGTCCCCCACGTGGCTTAACCTCTCCTTTCACTGATTTAATATCAAACTGTGTCCTTCAGGAGCAAACAACAGAAGAAGATGCATTTATTATTTATATAAAACACAGTGTCCTGCAGCGGGGGGGAGAGTGTCCTTTCAAACACTATTAAAGAAACACATGTGGTCGATCACAGAACCCAGTTTGTATATATAATGAGGATACTGAGGGGTTCGTTTAGCATGAAACACTTGAAATAACTAACGGATAAGTTAACAAAGAAAGTAGAAAGAAAGGGAGGTCATAGAAAACTATTTCTTCTAAAAAGTGAGCAATGATTGAGGCTGCTTTTACACGGGAACGTTTGCGTTTATGCACAGTATGCGTTTTCAAAAAAGTCTTCCGTTCACATGCATTCGTTTCATTTAACGTGTCTGTTCAAACGAGACCGCTGGAAACGCTGTAGTACATATGCCGGGACTGTAAGTGGCGCTGTAACTTCCGCCACAAAATACACCAAAAGCAGTGAAGAAGACCCCGGAGCAGCCCGGAGCAATGTTGCCATGGCTACCCTTCTGTTTATGCCCCGCGGTGGATTTAGCAACATGTAGTAGTTCATGTAATTCTCCATGTCCACTTGTTGCTGATGGTTGTGGTAGAGGAGCTGTAGATGTTGCACTAACATCTGTAGCATGGTCAGTAGCAGTAGCACTAGCAGTAGCTACTGACAGTAGCTACTGGCCATGCTACAGCAGTGAGCAGCAGAGGCGGGGAGAGGCGGGGCTATCGTTATTTTTTCAGGAAATATTCGTATAGAGGCGATTACACGGACTCGTTTGACCCCCCAGAGCGTTTCGTTTGCAAATCTATCCACCTTGGGACCCGTTATCGTTTGTGGGGTCCGTTTGTTACGGCCTCGTGTAAATAATAGGGCTATACGCAAGAGAAACTATGCAGATACAAGCCGTTTCGTTCTCGTGTAAATGTGGTCTGAGAGTCAGAGCTAAACCTTTCAGATGTGTGTATCTCACTCTGCTCTGTGACTTTCACTCATGTACCTTTGTTATTCATGTTTTATTATCTTTTGCTTGAAATGAGTGTTTTTAAATGCCATTTTATAAACATGTTTCTTAATGCTCTTAATGTCTTTCATTTTTGTAAAGCACTTTGAATTGCCTTGTGTTGAAAGGTGCTATATGAATAAACTTGCCTTGCTGCACATCTAGAAACTAAAACAAAGCCAAGAGTAATATTTGGAGCGGATGAAAACTAGTGAAAAGAAATGTCAGCCGTCTCAAAGCTCTACCTGATGATTAGGAAAACATAAGATAAGATACGATAAGATGTACTTTATTGATCCCAATGTGGGAAATGTTTGCATTGAAGCAGCATAAAGAACAAGTCATTGCACATAAGTAGAAATAAAAAAGTAAACATTAACATACGTGTTGTTTTAAGAAAACCATGTTTAGGACAAATGTGACTGTTAAGAAGTCAAGGCAGGAAAACGTGCAGCATCTTCAGAAACGATGCAAATATAAGAACAGAAATGTGCCAAAACACATGAAGATGAAGAGAAGTCTTCACCAACGCCAGGAAACACGCTCAGCGTTTACTAAAAGCGCTGCGTGAATGAAACACTGCTTTATAGTTGCATCGTTTTTTTAAGCTGTTTTTGACCGTTGTGGCGTTGTTGCGTTTCAAATTTGAAAAACACTCGACTGTACGATCAAGTTATTGCTGGTTTTTATTCAGCAAGCCATTTTTGTCATTCTTGTGTTTACAGGAGCAGCAGAGAGCTGGTGTGTGTGTGTGTGTGTGTGTGTGTGCTCACACTGTTCTGTCTGGAGACATGTGAACACACACACACACACACACACACACACACACACACACACACACACACACACACACACACACACACACACACACACACACACACACACACACACACACACACACACACACACACACACACACACACACACACACACACACACACACACACACACACACACACACACACACACACACACACACACACACACACACACACACACACACACACACACACACACACACACACACACACACACACACACACACACACACACACACACACACACACACACACACACACACACACACACACACACACACCAAAGTCTTCTGCTATTTTTGGCCCTGATTCATTCACGTAGGATGTTACTCGCTGTGTTTTACGTCTCTCAGCGATGGCCACCAGGCAGGAAGTGTGGCGTGCAAAGACGCTGACCAGCTGACCTCTCTTTCAAGAGTTCAATAATAACAATGCAATATAACTGAAAGACTTGGAATAAGAGGCAACTTTGCAGTGTCTTAAAAAGGTTTGTGTTGTCCCAAGTTAACTTTTTTTTAAATGATACTTTGCACGTGTCTCACAGGAAGCAAAAACACTTCAGTTCTCAATTACCACATCCACACAAAAGTATTTAATCTGCATTAAGAGGCTCTGTCACCCTTTCACTGTGTGTTCTATAGGTCTGTGTGCATGTTCATGGTCTGCAAAGGCTGCAATCCTACAGTAAATGCACACAATAACATGAAGATGAGCAGAATATGCTCTTTACAAAACACACTAATCAACAGTGACATGTGACAAACCGTATTGCAGTATTTTAAGTCAGAAAAAGTCAAAATAACTACTAAAAATGAGCTTTATACTTCAAACCTTATAACAGATATTTGGAAGTTAAGACATGAATTATCCCTTTCTAGTTTTTATTTAAATAAGAGTGTACTCCTATTCTCCTAAATAAAATAAAAGTCCTAAGCCAAATGGAAGAAGAGGGGGAAGGGGGGGGGAAGAGGACTAGAGTGAAAAGATGAGTTTTAAGGGCTTTCAGTTATTATGGCCGAACACCTTCCTCCCCTAGCTCTTCACTCACTGTTACATGCTTTAACAGAGCCCCTTGTTCTTATTGTCACAGCGGTAAAAAGGCAGAACATGAGCTAGCTGTGGAGCTAGCTGTGGAGCTAGCTGTGGAGCTAGCTGTGGAGCTGTGCTGAGGCCTCACCTGGCTCCGTACACGTAGAAGCAGTAGATGTGGAAGGTGAGCAGGGCCACCATGTCGGAGAGCAGCGAGAGGGCGAAGGTCAGGCCGAAGCAGGCCGACAGACCCCCGTACCACAGGATGCCCTCGATGAAGGGGGACATCAGGTGGATGTAGCCTGGAAAGGAGATGATGCATCAGGGAGAATGAAAGCCTCTCACGGCCAGGAGCAGAGATGTTGCTTATATCTTTCTTTGGCATGGAAGTGATCAGCACGGTCAAAAAGTCTACCATGATTATTTAATGCTTCATCATTTCCAGAGCAACGGATATTTACATTATTAAATATCGGCATATTTCTTGCTCATTGGTATTTCTTAAAATCTTTCATTTAGGGTAAGGGTCCAGGGACAACAACCAAAGCTGGAGACAGGATTGTTTATTTTTTATTTAATTGTATTGATTAATTTTGGTTAACATGAGTGATGGTGTAGTTAAAACACCACAATGTTGAAAATCAAGCCTTTTAGAAGGAGTATATTAAAATATTAAAATAACCTTTGCATCCTAACGGTTAATATGAACTATTTTCCAAACTGTGAAGTCTTTGTATCAGTAATTGTCAAAGCCCTGTGTGTGTGTGTTGAGACTCACTGATCCAGAGGTGGATGTGGTAGAGGAAGAAGCGGCCCAGCACCTGGTCCAGGGCCCGGTTCATCTTCAGCCCGGCAGGAGCTCCCATCAGCCACTGCAGCAGCTCCTCCAGCTCTTTGGCCACGTGCTGAGGAGGAACCAGAGGGAACATTTTCAGTTTTTATTCTCCAAATATCTGGAACAAAATTCCAGAAAAATGCAACTGTCTCGTGTTGTAAAATCAAGGCTGAAGACATTTCTGTTTCCCGTCTTTCATTAGATCAAACAACTATTCACGCTTAGAGAAAACTGTACATTTTATTATTGTTTATTTGACCTGTCATATTGTATTTAAGCTTATATTCTCTTGGCTTATTAATGACTGTTTGAATTGTATTTTAATGTCCTTTCATGATGTGTTTCTCTTTCTTGTGTTATACAAGATCATGCTTTTTAATGTAATTTTGTAAGCACACTTGTATTTTCAAAGACTTACATTAAAATGTCAAGGTTTATTAGGTAATTTACTTCACCCAAACCTTCTTGCGTTAACTTAAAAAGCCTTGTTTATGTAATTCAGCCATTTAGGACTTAAACATCTGATCTGATCTGTGTCACACACTCACGTCGGCTGCAGGCACCAGTGTGTTGGCTAACATGCTGATGTGGTTGTCTTTGTACAGCCACCACATGAGCAGCATGCCGAGAGCCACGTCCAGCAGCACCGACACCACCATGTTCGCCTTCCTGGAAACACACGGAGAGACAATAGAAGTGGTTACAATAAAATAAGCAAAATAAGAAGAAATAAAACATTAAAGGTCCCATGTCATGGCCATTTCTACTGATCATAATTCCATTGTTGAGGTCTACTAGAATAGATTTATATTGTGCAATTTTCCAAACTCACATTGGTTTCTCATACAGCATCTCTGTATAGTATGTGTATTCACTCTCTGTCCTACACGGCTTGTTGGAGCTCCTGCCCCCCCCCCTCCCTGTGAGCCCAGTGTGCTCTGATTGGTCAGCTCTCCCACTCTGTTCTGATGAGTCCACCACCGTTACAGCTGGACATCAGTGTTTAAGTTTTACAATGGCGTTTGTTAGCAACCAGAAAATGACACCAGTAATGACAAACAGATGAGAATGTTGCGTGGGGTCTGGGTGCCGTGTTGGCGGGACGTTGCGCGGCTCGCTGCTGCGAGGAGCGGACAGTGTGAGCTGGCTTACTGGTGTCATTTCTTGGATGCTGCGTGGGGTCTGCGAGACAGCGAGACATCGCGAATGGACACGGGAAGGGGGGGGTGCTGAGGGGGCTGCAGCACCCCCATCTGCGAGGCTCCACTAGCACCCGCACCCCCAAACGCGGCGCACCTACAGTGTAAGCGTGCCACAGTTTCGCCGCTGCGAGGCTCCACGAGCACCCCCCCCAGCGCGTCACAGTTTCGCCGCTGAGAGAGTGTGTGTGTGAGGAGCTCCACGGATTGGTCCATTTGGGTATGGTCACGTCACTATACCCAGCAAGAAAAAAATGGAAAAAGAGAAATCTCCAACGAGGCGTTCTGGGGCAGCATAGACAGGTCTTTTCTGTGTTAGAGTTTTACTCGCTACAGGGTGTACTTTGAGGGTTTGTGACTCTGCAGACCGTTTACATGCATACAAACCTTCATAACACACAAGGGGACGGGTAATAACTGGAAAAGCATGACATGGGACCTTTAAGACAAAAATAATGGTCAAGTCCGAAATGCAATGCTGTCATAAGTTGTCCCAATATTTCAATATTTAGTTACAAACAATCTTCACAGTGTTTGTTTCTGAAGCAAGATTCAACCAGCTGTCTGAGAGACCAAACTGGGTTTACATTCTTCAAACTGATCAGAAATATCCACCCAGGGATTTTATAAAGAAACATGTTTCTACTATCAAATCTAACTTATAACTAACTAGAAATATAGCTGCCCTAATACTGATACTTTAAGGACATACAAAGTCCCAACTTCTTTGCTTTTCATGTACAGTGAATCATACTAATTGTGACATTCACATTCAGTATACTGTTTGGTAGAAAGATTGATCTTCTTTTATTCTAAATAAACCGTTTTTGCCCCACTAGAGATGTTGAGGCCATATAATCGCTTTTCTGGCGAACACTTTTGTCCTTTACTGCTGTCCTTATTATCATTAGATGTTATGGGGAACTCCACCATGAGGACAACACTTCCACTTCAAATCCAATTCAACGACCCGACTGACACTTCAGCATAAAACTTTTGAGACTGTATGAGGATGTCTTATACGGTCGATGACTGCTGACTCTTCTAACCTAGGGGCCAAAATAGATCACTACCAACTGCTTTAGTAGAACAACGCAGATAGGCTAAAAACAATCCTTATCAACACTGTTTCACGACACATTTCGTCCTCGCCGTGGCTCAAAAACTGACATCCAATGAAAAGTTTGGTCTCATTTTGAACCGGAGCATCCGCAGATTCATTCCATAATAGCTATGCTACGATCCACTAAAGTTAAGAATGATGCAACATGAATAAATCCTTATTTTTGTAATCTTTTGGGAGGGACAATTAAGTGAGATTTAAATATTCGTCATTTATTTCGGAGGGGAGAGGGAGACACACCTGCAGGAGAGATCTACTCTCTTCTGAGGTGACCTGCTTGCACTGTTTATAACATGAGAGAGTTTCTGTGTTGCTTTTATTAACTATCACCTCATGAACTCCGTGTGTCCGGCGGCGGGCTTCTGCGAGCTGAGCGTCCTCATGTGCTCCGTCCTGTAGCTGAGCTGCACACAGGTGGACAGCTTACTGCTCAGGAAGCGCAGCGGGGACAGACTGAAGACCCTGCAGGAGAAACATACAAAATAAGGATGATGTTTGAAGTGTGCTGCCTCACATTGTCAGTCACATTAACATTTGCAGAACTGTGGTGATACAATTTGGTTGTCGACTAATTGATCAATTAGTAGAACATTTTAAAGACTTAACCAACGGGAATTTATATGTTTCACTATTTTCTGAAATGTTCTAGAGCAGAGGAATAATATATTTATTTATTAGAAAGAAATATGAGGACTTATGTATTATTAGGCTAATCGTTGCAGGCCTGATTTGATTATACATCTAATGTTAAAGAAATGTGTAAATATACTCTGCACTTTATCACTTTGCTGTCTTCTGGTTAGATGCTCTGTGCACAAATAATAAAGCTGAATCAAATCTCATCTTACTAAGCCTGTTGTTGGTCTCATAGCTGCCCGTACGACTGGCTTTGTAGACATTAATTAAAATAGAGCACATTGCCTCCTCCCCCCCCCCTCTCACCGGATGTCACAGATCCAGGTCCAGATGCTGAGCAGCCAGCGAATCAGCACGCAGAGCGGCAGGGTGGAGTGTTTCAGCAGCTCCACGATGATGCTGGCCTCTCGACCCTCAGACTGCCAGTGTGTGGACTTCAGGGGCCCGTCGTCGTATCGGTCCAGGAAGAACAGAGGCTGGCTGAGGGCCACCGAGCGGAACATCTGCCCAGAGGAGAGGAGGGGGTTAGGGATATTAATGGCTGCTTATATCAATTAACATGCACTTCACTCTGCACACCCTCTGGGAACACGTCAAATATTGGATGATTTACCTCAAATGTGATGCCAAACTTTCTGTTTAAATGTCATGCTGCATTATTATTCTTTTCTTTAGGATGTGTTGCTGCATTGTGGGAGAAAAGGCAATCTTACAAGCAGAGCCCAAAGAAAGACATTCCTAGCATTTGTAGAACCTTAAAAAACAACTAATTGAACACACCAATCTGACGACAAAGACCTGACACAGAGGGACCCCGACTGTTGCGTCGCACGTGTACAAACTCTGTATTTACATGATAGAAAACCTCAAACAGGAATGACATGAGGCACTGCTGGTGTACCTGTCTCAGCTCAGAGGTTGGGTCCGTTGCTGGGTCTGAAACGCCGTTCTCGATGGGGTGAAGCTGCGACAGCATCACCTTCCTCTGCTCGTAGTGGACGAAGATCACCTTCTCCTCCTCATCCTCTTTTTTCTCCTCCTCCTCCTCTTCTTTCTCCTTTTCTTTCTCCTTCTCCTCCTCCTCTTCTTTCTCCTTCTTGTTCTCCTTTTCTTTCTCCTTCTCCTCCTCCTTCTTTTTCGTCTTCTTTTTCCCCTTCTTTTCTCCATCACCTCCAGCCTCGCCATCAATCTTATCCGCCTTCTTTTTAATCTCCCGTGGAATTACTCTTCCATCTGGCCACAACAAAGTTACAGTCATTAAGAACGCTTTATTCATTTCACTGAAAAGGAAGTCCTCCTGAGGTTTATTAAAGCATTTGAGACAAATAATAATAATAAGAAGAAACCCAATATTTAAACAATATTTCAAAATGTGGATGTTTTATGCAAACCCAGCCCAAAAACCATACTTGTTATTAAAGTTAATTTGGAATTTATAAATAAATGTGAAATGATGGTATAGTTAAGTTTATTTTTTTTATTTCATTTGTTACATTTATTATGATTATTTGTTAATCATCATGTGTTTTCTGTGACGCTTTTGGCTTCACAGCCTTCATATTCTGTTATGAATGATATTGCTTTCCTGAGGCCTGTACTACGAAGCTGGTTCAACCTAACCTGGATATGTTTGAGTTAGCCGGTTGGCCCAATCCAAAACATACGCGCTCTGGCTAAACTGTACTACGACGCTGGTTATCAAGTGGATCGCTCAAGCCAGCCGTGTCCTATCTAGTTAGGTGCGCGTTCACATGAAAGGGGTGGTATTTGGAGCATTCGACCAATCTCAAACACGGACAAGCGTACTGACAGCGCAGCGTCATACTTCCTGAATGAAAAGTGAACTTTAATATTAGTCAAATATGAAGAAGTTAAACTTTAAACATCCATGACTTAAACACTTTATCCAGGATAAAAGCCACATAGCTGCACCTGCAAGGTGAATACAGCTGGTAAAAGAAAAAGCGTTTGAATGCGTACATTAACAGGTTTATGAAATCACTGCCCCGTCCAAGACACGAGTGGATCTGACTTTAATTACATTTGACTCGAGTGTTTCGTCAACTTAATGTGTTGCTTAAAATAATACTTCTGCATACAGTATGTGACACTGTGAGTGTTGCACGGCCAGATACGGCTCAAGAAGCTGACTCAAATAAGGAAATATATGATACATTATGATGTGATATGATATGAATGATAATGGGACACATCGACGTCTGCACTCACAGTGCCGCGGACTGTACTTAATGTTACTCTGATCCGGTTACTTATGTTGTGGCAGATATTTAAGTAAGCTTTCTTAACGCTAATGTTATAATAGTCAGATTGCTCTGAAGATGGGAGGGGATATTCTATTAATTTTCACGTTCACACAGTCAGTTGATTTTGGCCGGCCGTCTTTCCTGCAACGGCAGTTTTTCTGTATTTCCTCTATCCTGTAATATGACTTGATAGCTTTAAACTCCGCACACGGAGCTCTGATTGGTCAGCAGGCAGTGCTTTCACTGAGTTGATCTCTTAGCCTGCCACCTAACCTGCTCCGGAGCAGGTTTGCCGCTCAGCATAAGTTACCATGGAAATCTAGCCTGCTAAAAAGAGAACCAGCGTCGTAGGACCGGAAAGCCCGAGATTTCCCTGAAGTTAGCCGGCTAAGCAAAAATCCAGCTTCGTAGTACAGGCCTCTGGTGCTGTCTTTATTTACTTTGAAATAATACATGAGAGTCTCAGTGTGCGAGTCTTACTCTGATCCCGGCTGAGGACCTGGCAGTTGAAGCCGGTCTTCCCCAGCTCACGGTTGATCTGGAGCCAGCGCTTCTGGGGGAAGATGGTGCTGAGGTCTCTGAGGAAGCTCTCCATGCCCTCCTGCCCCTCTTTGGGGAGACTCCATGAGCCCAGCACCGACAGCTCCACCCCACTGCGGGCCTGGATCTGGGGAGAAGAGGAAGGAGTGGGGTTTTGGACCTTTAAGAAGCAGTGTTCTAAGACTCTTTTTTCTGGGACATTTTATTTTCAGTTCATTGACAAACTGAGCAAGATGATATTTCCAGCTATCATCTTTGTTGTTATTAGGAAATGCAGGGGTAGACATTAAGGGTAAAATTCCACTGGCCCAAGAGCATTCATCCAAAACATCGACTAATAATGAAGAAAATGAACACATTTGTTGCAATAGTAATTTATGCACAAACTACATTACTACTTGTGCTACAACATTTGAATCATCAGTCCTTCCTCATTTTCATCAATTGCTCATATTTGGTTTATTAAAATAATTATATTGTGGTCATTGTTAAAAAATGTCTGCTATTATCATTATGAGTATTATTATTTGTATAATGCGCTTTCTGCGTTCCTGTCATTAGGAGTTAGACATGTAATGGCTATGTAATAGATTAGAACCTTCATTATCCTAAACTGCTGGGACATTTCCCATAGCCAATATACCTTTATATGTTCTACCCTTCACTGACTTGTCAGCATAGGTCGGCATTGATGTACAGAGCCGACAAAAGACCTTGTTTATATTGGCATCATATTGAAGCCAACTCCATCGATCAAGCCAGTGTGGCTGAAACTTTCTCTCCCCTTTCTTCTCATACTCCCTGTCACTCTCCTTTAACTCCTCCGGTGACATTCTTTTATTTGAAGATTGTTTTTTGCCCGGCGCTTGGCCGGTTACCGCTGGTATTAAAAACATTTTGGCGAATGGTTAGGTGGCGAGAAAGTCTGTAGTTAACGAGCGCGCTCCCGCTCACGGGAGCCTGCTCGTGCTGCGCTCCCGCTCACGGGAGCCTGCTCGTGCTGCGCTCCTGCTCACGGGAGCCTGCTCGTGCTGCGCTCCGCACCAAAAACAGCTGTTTGCTTTTCACCAAACAACGACAACCTCCTCACGAAACGCTATGTTGTAGCGTTAATAAACAAAACAATTTAACAAAATGCTTGTCAAAATACCTATACCACAGGACCATTGTTTTTTTTAAAGCAATATTTTTAGTGGCCCGAGCGAGCAAGTGGAAAGTACGTTATGCTGGCCCGGGGTGTCTAAATAGTGCTTCCGGGCCAGCGGGCCATTTATAATGTCAAGCCCTGGGAAATGATGAGCAACTTGGGAAACGGGTTGAAAATTAGGTTTTAAAGAGCAGCAGAGAGAGTATGGAAATATCCAGGTATTTATCTTTCGAAGAAAATGATGCTTTTCTTTGTGACTAAAATGTCTAGGGTTGTACCATTATTATAATGTTTGTATCCACATCCACAGGTTTTTGAATGAAGGTCAATTTACAAAAAAGTCATAGTTATACAAATGTATAACTATAATTAGAATTTTGTTTTTATTTTGGCTAAACGCCACAAAATTGGGGTTGAACTGAATATTCGGTCAGTTGAAAACATTTGGTACATTTGGATTGGTTTTTTTCAATACATGTTGACTTTCGGCCTGTATAACGCTCCAAATTATGGTACATGTTTGGATCAAATGAGTATGAAAAAAATCCTATGCAGCAAACACTGGAAACTTATTCTACAGATAACATAATACTAATAATATTAGTGTCGAATGATTTGTATCTGCAACTGTGCACAAATACCGGCTTTAAACAGAATGAAAGAAATTATGCGCAACATTCAAATGTTGAAATGAAAGGTTGGGTAGGTAATTTTGGAGAAACCAGCTCGAGTGCGCTAGAATTTGAAAATACACAGCCGGAAAAAATCTGCCACTTCCTTACAGAGCCCCTCCTCCAACACACACGAACGCGCACATGACCAATGAGGGCACGAGATAAGTTTGTGCACAGATGGAAGGCTGACAGGCAGGTAGGCCATCCAGTTATTTTAGCCGGGTCGGCTAAAATGATTGGTCGCGCTTTTTACAGTATTACGGCTTCCACAGATGACATTTTTTATGGATTTTTTGTCAAAGCACTTAAGATATTCATTGCTATCGGGATGTTAAGAGCATTCCATGGAATATAACAAAAAGTGTATCTCGAGCCGGTTTCTCAAACTTACCTACCCCACCTTTAAAATGTAAATGTCATGTTATGAATAAAACTTTGATACTCAAACAAATATAATGAAAGGTCTACTAAGGTGTCCTCTTTGTATGAGTCAGATAAAAAGAGTAGAAATGTTAGTACCGGGTTAAAAACTGGTTTTATTGTGCCGCAGATTATTATTATTTTTAAATGCATAAGGTTAAATTAGTCCTTGAGGAGTCAAAACATGAAGCCTTCAAAACACTCAGCGTTGTTACAAGACTTTCTAGGTTTTACAAAGTCACAGTTTTTCTATCTGGGAGGACACAGGGGTGTCTTCAGTGCTGCTGCACGTACCTGCTGGATGTACTGTTTGACCTGTCCCGGGATGAATGGGTAGTGGATGACCGCCAGCACCACGGCAGAGTCATGGCCGGAGAGCCAGCGACCGACCAGCAGGCCGCTGTCGGCCCGGTTACAGCACTGAGGGAAGAAGATCTTCAGCACCATGACTTCACTGCAGCTCTGATGATCTGAGAAAGAGAGGAAACAACAACCAGATGAGCTCTGCAGCACAGAAAGAGGCCAGCTGGTTGCATTCTAGATGTAGCTTCCTGTCAACAAAGGATACATCTTAATTAATCCCTGAATGACTATTCAGGTGTGAGAGCAACAAAACCAATAAGACTGAAGGACAGGATATGCCTGGAAAGAGTTCACAAAAGGATACTAAGAATACAAATAAGAATATGAATGTAAGCTACAGTAAAAAATAAGATTAAAGATACGAGTGAATATTTTTTATATATATTTTTAAACAAAATCCATGAATGCAACATTAGTCTATCTTTCATTTATTATTGGTATCTCTTTCGTGTGGCTCTCAGTACATTAGTTCCTAAAGACTTCAACCTTTTAAAAACAGCTTATAAAAACTTTTTTTTTTTCAAGGGCTACACTGAGAAAAGGTTGAATGGAAAGCTAGAATAAAAACCTGGTGTGAAGCTGACCCCGTTAAAAGAGCAATAGCTTGATATTTTACTTCGGGAATATTTCGATGCTAGTTTATGGGAATTTCGAATGCATTACGTTGAATTGGAAACCAGAATGTCCTACACTTTCGTATTGCTACTTGCTTTTACTTCATATAAAAACCATCTTGCACCACTGGTCACATTTATCATAAATCACAACATTTCAAGTACATACACAAATATTTCTAATGTATATATAAAATACCTGATGTCTGCCGAATCGAAAAGTGGATCTTTGATATTCATGAGAGATATTTCTGTTCTTAAAACTGCTCTACATGAATGCACGACGGATGGCAACTGATAAAGTGTCCTGATTTTGAATGGAGTTTGGTTTGAACGGAACTGGACGGTTGGCCTCCTTTTATGCCCTTCAAATATTGAGTTTGTAGCGCGTTGTTGTGGCAACATAAACCCCGGGGCTGGATTATTATTGATGTCAGTGACAGTTATGTCAATTAAAGGGTTAGCACAGGAAAGTAGGTTAGCTTGAGTGTTAGCCAGCGAAACATAAATGTGGCAAATTACCGTTAAAATAACATGAATTTACTAAACGTTTATAGGAAAGATTAGTAAGTTAACGACGATTGATAACACAACACACATGAGAGGTAAACGACAGAACTGCAGTATGGAGACCAGTTATTTGTGTGTAAAAAATACAATATTTACCTTCTTTAACAACGACCAAATATTTCACCTCCCATTTATAACGTCGAGTGGAGTTATGATCATGGGTTTAGTGAAGACGCCATATTTTTTGTTGATAGTCCGTTGCATAAAACTGTCCGATGAGAAGCACAACTCTAATGTTTGGTTCCGTTTTCCCTCCCGTCGAGTTGTTTTTACATTTTCACGATTTAAGCAAATAAATTGACCGGACAATGACAACAACCAACAACAAAAAAACACGTTTTTGTTGACGTTACTACAGTTTGGTCCCTTTCATATGTAAATGTTTACCGGAGATAATAAAACGACCAAAACTGTCAAATTCGGTCAAAGTAGATAAAAAAATATCCCCCCAAAGAGTGGAAACAACATTTTAAAATACGCCTGACTGAGAACCTGTTTAAGTATATATTACAACAGAGGTAGAATTGATATAGATTATAATGACTTTACTAAATTTATAAAAGACGATGAAGTGTTTGGTCAACATTTTCAATTAAAGAATAATAAATTAATATAATAAAAAAAAACCTAACAAGGTAACAGAACTCAAAGAAAATCGAAGAATGTAAACTTTGTTATGTTCTTTCTTTCTAAGGAAACAATATAAAATACAACCTAACTATAAAATAGTACTTTATTGTCAAACTCTCTACTCACCAGTAAAAGTTTGGGTGCTGCTGTTAGTGAATGAGGAGTTGGCCCAACTGTAAAGAGCTTTATCTCCACTGGAATGACTCAGCAACAACAACAAAAGAGCGCAAATGAAGTGTCCAACAGACTATAATTAACACACATATTCCAGGCAGATCATGGCTATATTAAGGCTATCATTTCGAGACACAATTGAAGATAATTAAAAGTAAATATAATCATTGTCTTTGAGCGTTTAAAGAAATTAACATTAAAACAAATTACTCTCTGTCTGCAAGCCACACTCATTGGCATACTCATATCATAATCAATCATAATCTCAACCATATTTCAAAATTGAAAGTCGGTCATGTGCTGGGGGGTGGGTAGCATATATTGCATCAAATATGTTATAATATTTTCTTACAATCATAGGCATACTAATTTGGATCTAATGGATGAATACGTGTGGACAGCGGGGAGGGTGATCATTTGTTTATACCAATTCCTACGGAAAAAGTTTAAGGCCACATGAAAAATGTTTTTGGGGAATTCTGCCTTTTTTTCAGAATTCTGAGATTAAAGTCAGAACTAGTTTATTTTTTTTAACTTTTGGTCACATAAAAAAAAAGGTCTCATGTGGCTCTAATTCTCTTACGTAAATTGTTTTTGTACTGTTCACGTTGATAAAGCCCGCATAAAACAACACGATAATTGGACACGGCTTAAAGTATGTGGATGCGTTTATAGTAGTCCGCTTTACGGTAAATTGTAGTTTCCCCACGGAAGACGCACATGCACTAAAGCCGCTGTCGCATCTTAATGACGTTGCCCATTGATTAATAACAAAGTTCAGTCGGATTCTCTTAGCATAGCGGTTCTCTTTTATATAGTCCTGATGAATTAACTCTCATATCTTTCCTCAAGGCTATAACGTTTTTCACGGAGGTGATGGAAAACCGGTTAGGAACAAGACCTAGGACCTGACGTTGTGACCAGGACCAACACATGTCCAGGGTATGAGGAACTGTCCGGTCTAAGTAGTACAAACCCCAGGAAAACAGTCATTAAGATGGACATTTCGCAGGAATTTCAGGCTCCTTTTTTCGCCATGAGTCGTCTACTTTCATTTCCCTGGACTGTGAGTATGGCTTCGTGCTAGCATTGCTATTATCCCGTCTCCATTCATCATGCAGAGTGAGCGCTCAGCCAAAGTCCACTCAAATATTTATATATTCGTGATATAATGCTCAGCAGAAAATATATTCAGTGCCTAAAAAAGACTGATATTATAAGAAATATTATTGCATAATTCGGCACACATATGATCCACCAGCAGGACGAAATGTGTCAATTAATCTGAACCTTCTTCAATTCAGACTGCAGTTCAGTTTGCTAATATACTGAAATAACAGCAGACCCAATGTTGACCTTTAAAAATAAGAGTGGTTTAATAAAGGTTGAATTAAGTGTTTCAATTAAATCCATAAGGTTTCCTCACATGCATATCTTCAGTAAAATGCTGGTTGGTATAAGACTGTACTTGAAAATAATGAAAAATTATTAATATAAATTAGAATAAGTTATATCCAAATTAGAATGAAAAACATATTAAAAATACAAATGATTCTGTAAAATAAAGCATACATATATTTAAAGTCTCAATCGCTTCCTATTATTTTAATGTTGATTTCTGTATCTAGGGGGTTACAGTCATTTGACAGGATGTATCCATGTGTAAAATGTGTTTAAAGGTCACCTATTATGCAAAATCCACTTTATACATAAACATGTGTCCCCTCTGTGTAAAGACATTCTGAAAGTTTCAGGAAAAAAGATTCTCTCTCTCTTTGTCCTGATCCATTTATATAAAAACCTGTCTGAAAATGAGCTGATCAGATTTTGGCCACTTTATGATGTCATAACGATTTTTTTGGCTTGTGTAACCATTAGCCAATCACCAACCAAGGTAACCCCCGCCCACCGTATCACCTGAATCTCCTCCCAGAGCACCATTGTGGTTTTGTTTTACCAAATATCGGTGTGGGGAGTGGCTCCTTATTTTCATCTAAAGTAAAAGACAGAATCAGCACTTTTGAAACAGGGCTGAAACAGAGGGGTTTATGGGATGCTACAATGCATGATCTGTTTGGTATTTGGAGCCAAACACTTCAGAGACATGTTTTGTATATATCTGAGACCTATAATATATTGATGTAAAACAGTATAATAGGGGAACAGTGTAATAACAATGTAGTATTGGTGTTACATGGATTTAAATGGGTCTGATAACAGTGCAATACCGGTGTAATGTAGAAAATAGCAATCAATTCATTTTCCAAAAATGCATTAAAGTGTAAAAATCAAAAAGGTGGTAACCTGCGAGACTGTACTAATACAAACATGTGAGCTCATTAAAGGCTTCAAACCATTTTATTATTTCCAACTAATAATATCTACTTTCCAGTTTGTAGAAAAAGATCTGGAAAGCAACAAATCGTCAGAGCTGATTTCAGACATCCTGAAACAGGTAAGTGCGGCTGCACTCAATCCTGCCAAAGTCTTCTAAACATAAAACAGTTATCAATTTAATAAACTAATATGTGTCCTTTGTGTTTCCCGCAGACATGCCTTCACTCTTTGTGCCGGAAGTTTCCTCCGTCAGCCAAATACAGGAAGCTGTTTCTCTCTCAGCTCATCAAACAGGTTGGTTTCCATCCGTCTGTCCCTCATAGAAAATATATTTATATACATCTGTTGATAATGCTATTGTAGTTACTTATAATGTCTTCTAACTCTCCAGGAAATAATAATGATATTTGGGACTTATTATAGAAAAATTCCCTGTGAGACTATTATTATTGATTAGTTTGTTTAAGAGGTGAACTATGTAACATTTTAGCATTATAATGTGAAAAATAACTATACTTATGTTATTTATATCTTGTACAGTTGTTTATTTACAGTATCCTAATGTTTTTTAGAGAAATGTGTAATTGTTATCCGTGTAACAGTGAGTTTCATCTAGTCTCCTGTGTGGCGTCCTATCCACTTTGAGCATGCATTAGCATTATTCCAATTCTATTTCAATGTAAATACTGCTATATTTGACTATTTTCTATATTTTTCAATGTTATTATAGTTTTCTTAAAACAGTTTTGTATCTGTCTTTTACATTTTTGTTTTACTTTTATGTATGCGCCACAACACCAAGTCGAATTCCTCGCGTGTCATCCTACGTGGTAATAAACCTGATTCAGATTCTCTGCCAGAATCTGTCAAAATACACTTTTGATCCAGTTTCAAGCCACATTCTTACCATACAACATACATCTTGGTAGATAACCCATCAAAAAGCATGGGAGAAACACCTATTTTTAATGTAAAAGCAGTGTAATTCAGTGTTATACTATATTGTGTGTCTGTGCAGCAGGAGGCGGCGGGCTGCGATCCTCTGGACGAGCTGTACGACGCTCTGGCTGAAGTGGTGGGAGCTGAAGACACCAGCGAGTGCTACAAGAGCTACCTACTGGTACTTTAAGAGCTTGCTTTGGCTTTTTAACGTTCTAAGACCTCAAGTTCAAAGATATTTATGTGGGTTTAAAGAAAATATTTAATCTTTTAAATACTAATTTCAGGGATAAATCTGTTGAATTGTATTATACAATCTTTAAATAAGGAATAAAAAAAGAATATTCAACAGTTGAGTTGCAGACAGATATTCCAGTGTTGTTGTCCTCTCCGCAGCCCGGCGGGGACTCGGTCAGCCTGAGGGAGAGCGTGGCTCTGATCTCAGACGGGACCACGGGCCTGGTGACGTGGGAGGCCGCTCTCTTCCTCACTGAGTGGGCTCTGGAGCACCGGCAGGCCTTCAGTGGCAGGTAACCAGCACCAGGAGACCTTCAGATATACAGAGAAATCATTGAAGATCTGCATCCTGCAAGATTCAGAATTCGATTTATTTGACTCTGATTGATCCTCTTTTCATAACGTTGACATTTTAATTCTAAATCAACGTTTGAAAGGTGTGCAGTTGATTTCACAAATTGGAGTTACTTGTACTACATTACCTGAGCAGTTTGACTTGATACTACTTTATACCTCTCTTCCACTACATTTCTGAAGTCAATATTGTACATTTTTTACTCCACTACATTCCTTTGACAGCTTTAGTTACTTTATAGATACAAAGTATTAGCTTAAACAAAATATAAATGAACTAATAAATAAACATTGACATTTAATTAAAGGTTAATATATTCAGCAGCAGTATATAGAGTAATTAAAATGAGCTCCAACTTTACAGCTTTTATAGAGACATTAAAGGTGGGGTAGGTAAGTTTGAGAAACCGGCTCGAGATACACTTTTTGTTATATTCCATGGAATGCTCTTAACATCCCGATAGCAATGAATATCTTAAGTGCTTTGACAAAAAATCCATAAAAAAATGTCATCTGTGGAAGCCGTAGTACTGTAAAAAGTACGACCAATCATTTTAGCCGGCCCGGCTAAAATAACTGGATGGCCTACCTGCCTGTCAGCCTTCCATCGGGGCACAAACTTATCTCATGCCCTCATTGGTCATGTGCGCGTTCGTGTGTGTTGGAGGAGGGGCTCTGTAAGGAAGTGGCAGATTTTTTCCGGTTGTGTATTTTCAAATTATAGCGCACTCGAGCTGGTTTCTCCAAAATTACCTACCCTACCTTTAATGAATCAATAACCATAATCCAGTACCTTAATATTTGATTCTGAAATAGGCTATTACACATAATGAGTACTTTTACCCTTAGTATTAAACTACATTTAGATGCCAATACCTTTATACTTAGATTTTGAATGTAGGACTTTTAAATTAGTATTTTTACATTTTAGTATTACTTTAATACGCGAGTACTTCTTCCCCCTCTGCATACTCGCACAGTTGAATCCCCCCCCCCCCTCTCTCTGCAGGACGGTGCTGGAGCTGGGCAGCGGGGTGGGGCTGACCGGCATCACCATCTGTCGCTCCTGCAGCCCGAAGAGGTTCGTGTTCAGCGACTGTCACCCCCGGGTGCTGCAGACGCTCGAAGACAACGTGCGGCTCAATGCTGTGACGCAGAGGGAGCCCCTCCCCGTCACCGTGCAGGAGCTGGACTGGAGCACGGCGACGGAGGAGCAGGTCGCTCTGATCGAAGCCGACACCGTCATCGCTGCAGGTCAGAGATCATGGTCCAGAGGTGGAATGTTAATAGTTAAAAAAGAGGAAACCTACATGCAGATGTTCTCATCATGTGAACAACATCTTGTTCTTTTGTAATACTGTGAGCCATGTTCATGCTCAACTCTCTGACTGCTTTTGGCACACGTCTGCACAGCCCTCCACTTTAAAATATAATACACTGTAGTTTGCCATTTACTCATTGTCCTAAGTGTTTTTTGTATTTTAGCTTTTAAGGTTATTTGTATAGTTAAATGAAAATTTGGTGTAAATACTTGTCTTTAGCATCCTTTTTTAATGCTAAATAGTTTTTTAAAAATACTTATTTTTTATTATCCTTATATATTTACTTTGCAACTTATTTTTTTCGATTGTTTATGTTCGCACGGCCAGATACCAAAGCAAATTCCTTGTATGTGTAAACGTACCTGGCAATAGACTTGATTATCCCCCCCTTGCAGATGTGGTGTACGACCCGGAGGTTGCAGAGAGTCTGGTGAAGCTGCTTAACACCATCCTGAGCTGCTCCAATCCTGACATCTACATCTGCTCCACCGTGAGAAACCCTGAGACCTACAGCGGGTTTAAGACGCAGCTCGGTGAGAACCTGTTCTTTTTATTTTACTGATGATATTCTTTCCAGTCTAATGTGAAGCAGCATATTTCTGGTTTTATAGATCGTTTTTTCTACTTCTTTGTAATACAACATTCATACACACATCAATAGAATGTGTAATGGTTAAGTGCTTAAACACACACCACAAAGACTACAGGCATATACATTCTGCACCTGCACGCGAGGGAAATTCAATAGGCAATAACAGTCCTGCATTTCAAAAGAGAATTTACAAATGATCATAACTATAATTGTCAAATTTACTATAAATGCAAGGTCTTGTAAAAAAGGTTTAACATTTTAAACGATTAAAAAACCCGTTTGTTCAAACGCTGTTGTAATAACTTTTGCAAATGCAGATTTAAAAATGACATTTGTACTTATTAAAAAGGTATTTTGTGCAAATGTAAATACTTTGGAAAAATGGTATTGTGTACGAAAGATGATTATTGATATCTACCGCTTTCTAGGCGCAACACAGGCAGCTTACGACTTTAATTATATTTAATTTACATGACTTATGAACGGTATTTGATTTGTTAATTATTAGATATACTGAGATCTCTTGTGGGTAAATCCGAATGATTTTTATTTTATGAGGGCTTTAATTGCCGTGTCCTTAATATAATGAGGTTTTCTGACAGAATGTGTTTTTGACAGAAAAAGCAGGAATCAGCCATCGGGTGATGACAGGAGCCGTCAGCCACGTGTTCCCTTACAGCAGAGGCTCTGCTATAGAAATGATCCAACTGTACAGATGACTGTAGCACAATAAAGATTTTATTTACAAATTTACATCGTATCAAAGTGTCCTTTTTATACATTCAAGTGCTCTGAAGTACTACAAAATCGCTGGAATCAAACGTTTGTACTTTATCTCACCTGTGTTGCTGCTGCATCTCATTTTTTTAAGTGAATCAGACTCATTCCCTCCTCTTTAATGTAACAAGGCAGAATTCAAAAGGTGAGATTTAGATGCGTTTTGGTCTGAAAAAATTGTATTGTCCATTAAAAGTCCCTCCTGGTGTCCCTCAGGGAGCGGAGAGGAGAGGTAGGACATTCTGGTCCCAGTTCTCGTCCCAGCCTGGCCCCCTGCTGCGCCGCAGGGTCCTCCTGAAGGCCCCCAGCTGGCCCCCTGACCCGGGGAACTCTGAGAGCAGAGACTGAAACAGACACAATCAGATTTATTTCAAAAGCCATGTTCTTCACGAAGAACATTTATGGCTTTTTCAAACGTTTTTAATATCATTTTAGGTGATTTAATGCATTTGGCTTACATCCTTAACCTACATATTAACATATTGAAAGTGTAACCTCAGCTTCTCTAATAAGTGTATGATAACATGTGTGTCCAAAATCCAGACAATCATAGAGTCTTAAAAGAAAAGAAATTACCCCTGAATTCAAACCACCATTTTGTATTCCATGGACATTGTACAGATTACATCACAGTGTCAAATCATGCATCATATTATATCTTTAAATTAACATATAGAGACTTGGCTTCCAACCTTTTACTTTTTTCCAACATATTAAGATAATTTCTCATGTTATATGCTATAAGACAAACATGCTATTTTCCTGGTTTCCTGCACAAAAAAATCAAAATGGATCCAATGCAATGTTCTTGATCATATCAGACTGAACGAATTACAAATATCCCTTAGCTTTAAGTGTTCTTTTCATCAAAACAATCTGAAAATGTATTATATGCTGTAGTTTTGATCAGGACTGGTATAGTTCTGATTCGCCTCAGTTACAGTGGAGAAATAATATAAATATATATGAATGAATAGTTTTAGGGGGAGTTTCTCTAAAAAGGTGAACATACATTTAAACTGTAGTAATTGTACAAAGTAATTGTGATAAGCTGTAATCTTTGCTAAAGGTGTTAATATTTAACCACCCTGAACATGTGTCAAACTTGTATACTGAAGTGAAACCTTATTTTAGCCTTGATTTAGTAACTCAGTAGTGTTGAGAACTTGTTGATACAAATTAAAATCGTGGACAGAAACGAAACCATGAATTCAAATATTCTGAACGTTCTTTATCTGATTTTTGTCTGTATTCTGGAAACATGCATTAGTCTCACCTTGAGCTGCTCAGCGAGCTCCTGAGCGTCTCTGAAGATCAGCCCGTTCTCCTCGTGCTTCACCAGCTCGTGTAAACTGAGGGAAGAGAGGTGTCATGTCAGCTCTCAGAGTGTGACCCATCTCTCCCGGCTCCATAGTTCTTGCTGATACCTAGTACCTTTGTTATTGTTATTTTATCAGGGTTTAAAGTGAAAGCAGACTCACCAGTGGAAGTGGATGGCGCAGACGGGCAGGCAGCAGCCGAACATGTCCACCACCTTCATCGGGAGGTCCAGACCGCTGGAGGACTTGTGGAGACACACACCCAGATCTGCTGAGCCTGATAGGAGAGACACACACACAGAATTATAATTCCCTCTGTTCTCTTACCATTTTGAGGCAGCCATGTGAGCAACTTGCAGACATTTCCCCACATGCTTTAAGTTTGTAACACGTTTTCATTCGAATTACTTGAGATATTTTGCACAATTCAGTATGTTTCAGTTATCCGATTTTTGACAGATTTGCTTCGTTAGCTTTGATACTAACACACATTTCAGTTTTACAGATGACATCACTAAAAACAAAATCATTTCAGTGTTTTTGTTATTGTAATTATTCTTTGACACAAATCGTTCAGTCTTCTGACAGGCTTTAAACACATGTTTAACATTTATGGTAAGAGTTATTTTATGACACAGTAATCCATGTCCCTTTATTTTCCCACCTGCTTATATTGCCTTTGACTGTATGTTTTGATTATTATTAATTGCTCAGACTTTAAAAGAAAAAGTTTTACAGAAACCTCAGATTAGTGTGAGCCCATTCTTCCAACATGAGCTCAATGTGTTGAATTGTCTTAAAAGAATCGTAACCTAATGTGTATGTCTCACCCAGTAACACAGGATAGTCTTCGGCCTCCAGCCACGGCGTGCAGATCTGCACATGCTCCAACTGCAGAGAGTCAATCAGCTTCCTGTAGTACTCCTTCTGAGGACCTTTACCTGCACAGAAACACACACACACACACACTCTAATAAAACCTTTTGAAATCAGAGCTTTGGTGTAACCGTGCAGTGCAAAGAGTTACCTGTGATCACACAGACTAAAGATGGCAACGAAGCTCCTGCTTTTATAAAACCGTCATAATCTGTGGGGGGAAAAAACAGCGGTGAGGGACTGTGAAACTCAAATAATTCTATTTCAAGCACAGAGTCAAGTTTTAAGAATGTTAGAAATGTATAAAACATATTTGGACAACTGATATTAATTCAATTGACTGCAAGCGTGGAAGAATTAAAATCCTTTACTTATGTAGAAGTAATAACTACACACTGTAGAAATATGCTGTTTAAAGATTTGTTTAAAGCTTTCGCACCTTCAAGAGCCTTCAGTAGGACAGAGAAGTCTTCGTCCTCTGTGGAGAGAAGAGCCATTTAAAGATAGAAGCAGTCAAATCTGATTTAATCTTCTGAGTTCAAAGAGAAACTAAAACAAAGTTAAAACAAATGTATTCACAGCAGTAAATTAAAAAGATATCAACAAATTGTGAAATAAAAAATCTCCAAAGCCAAAAGTAACCCACTTAAAAGCTTGTTACATTTGCCTAATAATTTATGATAATTATTTGACAAACTAAAATATAATCGCAGTGAAATATGACAACATATATTTGCTTCATTCTAACTCAAAGGGAGCTTTGAGTGTAAAAAATAACATTTTGCTAATATCTGCTAACATAATGTATCTGCTAACATAATGTAATCTGCTAACATAATGTAATCTGCTAACATAATGTATCTGCTAACATAATGTAATCTGCTAACATAATGTAATCTAAATCTACATCTTATATCATATAAGGAAAAAGAAATCTAATTTAATTTGTGAAAAAAAAAGACCCGCCGACGGGGTCTTTGGGGCTTAACAGGTTGCGCTTTGAGCACCAGGAAAAGCGCTATATAAATCAAATGTATTATTATCTACTTGTAGCACATCTTAATAATACAAAACAAGCATATTTAATATGTGTAGTCAGTAAATGCTCCCTGTGTCTCCTCCTCTCACCGGTCCAGCTGGTGCTGCTCAGCAGCAGCGCCGGCCGCTCCGCCCTCAGCGTCACCGCCTCCTCACAGAGATCACACTCTGAGAACACCGACCGCTCCACCTGCTTATCCTCCTCACACCTGGAGAAACACAGAGGAGGAATGTGACAAGTAAAGTATTATTTCGACATACTTGTATTTGAGTATTTCAATTTGCTACATAAAATGGTGTGAGTATGTCATAATTTGATAGCTGAGGTTAATGTCAATGGAGTCTGGTGGCTTTGAAGAAATAATTGTAATAGTATGTTTTATATAGTGATGGCGAGATGAAGCCTTATGAAGCTTTGAAGCTTTCCAGCCAATTGGTTCGCAAAAGGGTTCATCTCATGAGGCTTCATCATGGGCTTCATCTGAACACAAACCCCCCTGTTGGTCAAAGTGTGTAAAACAGGCAGATTTGACATCTCAACAGTGTGCTCTATCTCATACCGAGTTCCCAATGAGTAAAGCCTTAGAATAACTCAAAACAACGAACATAAAATCACATTTTCATGTTAACAATATTGTATTTATTCCAGTTTAATGATTGTGATTGAAAAGCCTAAGGAGGCTGGTAAACATTGCAAAGAGGGATTTGTATTCCTTAATAATATTCGTAAACTTAACCATGTTGTAGCCTGAGAAAGGCTAAACCATATCAAAGAATACATTTATTAACTACATTATCTCATTTAGCTGTAGCTTTCACACACTGAATCTATCTGAAAACACGGATTACTTTTTATTCCTGTATTTATTCATGTTTTTATTCCTACTTTTATTTATGCTTTTATTTATTTATTTATTTATACTTATGACATGTTCCGACCTCTATATAAGTGAGGGTCTGAGCTCTCTAAACTCCATCGTGTCACCGGGCCCGGGTACAGGAGGGGTAATATCGTTCTTATTATACATCCATGGGTATTATGAGCGTTGTGGTTCAACCGATCTAAAGCTCTTCCTGAAGCAGTCACGTGGTATCGACAGGCAGCGAGGCTTCATTTGTCATCGGTGACGTCACTGGCCCAAAACGATACAAGCCTCGATACAAGCTTCACAAAAAGCTTCGGGGATTACACGACACACGCTCCGAAGCCTCGGCGCAGTACGTAACATCACTAGTTTTATATGTTATTACATTATAACAGTTGAACAAATCCTTGTTGATTATATTTATTATATATTCACTTCGCCAATTCAAATGCCTTGGAAAAGATCAGCAATCAATATTGTGACAACTGCAAATCTTTTTCTTGGGAATGAATGCTGAATGTACCCATTGACACTGAAGATCAAAACCAGATGTTAGTGTTTCTTTGTCAAGTTGGAGAGGAGCTTTAACAGATATGAAAAGCTGCAGTAGAGTTCCTCACCCTCTGCTCTGGAACTGAGGATACGCGTTGGCGAGTCTCATGAAGAGCCCGTGCTGCAGCTTCAGAGGAGTCTCTCTGAAGATGGAGGGCGGACAGTCGTACAGAGTGGTCGCCCTGCAAACAGTCCAAATGTTTTATTATTACATCACTTAGTTTGCAATTAATAACTTTGATGGCAGGCTTTGGCTGACTTTATTGTCCATATTTGTTTCCTTTTACCGGAACTGTTTTAATTGTGCCAAGTCATGTATACAGTACCACAGCTTTAAGTCGCAATTTCCTGATTGCCATAGTCAATGATATCGAGAAGCTGGAAACTAACAATAACCTCCCAGATGGCATATCTGTGGCAGAAGCAAGGCTAAACCGGAAGCAGGTGAAAAGTGTGTGAGTGTGTGTGTAAAAATGACATACTTGATGCCCCAGTTTTTCTGCAGGTCATCCTTCATTGCATTGGTGACACACAGGTTACGAGAGGCCAGCGGGCCGAAAAAGTGCTCGTACCTGGAAGAATAAAAACAAACATTTTTAGAATATATGCACACCAGGATGTCAGGGATGTCATTATAAACAGGCATAACTAAGAAATGGATCTGCAGCATTTTCTTATATCAGCTTCTAAGATGTGAGCTATTATTTTGCATATCATAAAGTAAAACAACCCCCGGGCTCACACACTCACCACTTTGCGAGCCTCACCACAGGATGTGTGTCCCCGTGGCTCAGAGCCATGATGGTGTAGCCGTAGTTGTGCCAGTCGATGACGAACCTGCTGCCACGCAGGACGCACACGAGCCACGCCACCGCGATGCCAGGCAGCCCCGGGGGATTCTGGGAAACAATCACAGTCATTAGCATAGGCCAACATTCCTTTAAAGCGTACCTGTAAGTGTGACAGCTGGTTATCTTTTAAATGCAGTATATCCATCAATAGATACAGAATTTATACCAAAAATGTTCTCGTACCTGCATTAATATATGAGACTGTGTTTCCATCCTCAGCAGCACGTAAAGTAGCTGCAGACACTGGAGGATCACCTTCGTCACATACGTCAGGATTTTTGGTCCCACTAGAAAAAAAGCAACAAAGCACTTGTGTAAAAAACACTATAACATTTCTGGGAATTTTTCATTACTTCTGAAAAACATAAAATGTGAAATAAGATGTTTACCGCGTACTCCTTTAACCTCTGCTATTGGCACCAGCTTTATCTTTTCCTCTCTCAACACTTCTTGATGAGGTTTGGTATCTAAAATTTAAAATAAATGGAAAGATCTGAAAATAAAACACTTAGTTTTTTGTGGTCTTCTGCATTAAATAACTTTTGTTGCACTACTCAACTTGTGAAGAATTGTAATTTTGACACTTTTTTTTTAGTAGTTGAGCATTTACCTTTTGGGGTATTTACACAAGTATAAAGTAGCATTACACTACATCACAGAGAAAACATATTGTAATATACTGAACATTTATTTGAAACTTAAAGGCTTGCATTAAAACATTTGAAATACAGTATAATGCTGTACTACACTATTGTAAGAAGTTAAATTATGGGATTGGGTTCGAAACAGTTATGCATAGCATACGCGTTTACTATATTACATACAATGGTGTAGGCTAACAGTTACTTAAATGTAGGTTAAGGTCCCTTAGTTACACTCCACAGTTGTTGACAGCATCAGGGGACGTTTTGGGAAACAGAGGAATTTATGAATGACCACATGAAACTTTATTTTCATCTAATAAACCCTACAAAAGTCATATTATATCCGTGTTTGTAACTTACCTAAAAACCCGACAAAAGTAACATTATACCCGTGTTTGCTGAGGGACAGAGCGTGATACTGCATCCGGGGGCTGCGACCCAAATCCCCCAGCACCAGTACACACACACGCCGGTCAGTCCCGCCGTCCCTCCGCCGCAGCCACAGCGAACCCAGCCCGGTAACAGCCGTCAGAAACACAACCGGCCATGTTACACCCGAACCGGCGCCATAAAACCCAATTAAAAGCGCAGAAATGAGCGCAAACACAGCGAGAAAAGTTGTGCAGGTGCCGGGGGTCGCCATGTTTGTTTGTTATGACGTAGCTCAGCGCAGGAGGAGGAGCTTTATATTTAAAGGGCCAGCAGAGTGTATGGTGCATTCATGTACAATAAAACATTATAGTTAAACTGAATAAATACCAAATTATAAACCATATTATAAACGTTATTCTTCTTTAAAGATTTCATCATGCAATTTGACACTTTTATCACGTCTTCTTTAGGTATTTAAATGTTGTTCTTAACATATTCCTTAAACCAATATCAAATTATAGTGAACTTGGGGGATAACTTTTATTATTTTACTTTATGGAAGTCAAGCGTACCATAGAGTATAAAGTCAAGTTTGTTTTCGCAATTACGTCACGGCCTCCTCTCCTTCCCATCCCTTTTGAGAAAAGAGACAGCCTGTCATCCCTCCTCTCCTCTCCCCTCCCCTCCCCTCCCCTCCTCGTCTCTCCTCCCTATTTACCGTCCCGGAGCCTCCACACAGTCTGACTGAGAACATGCAGGCTGCGGGGCATCAACTTGCCACAGTGCTGGCTCTGTTTGCCGCAGTGTGCGGAGGGTCGCAGGCCGAGGTGATCGATGACATCCTGGGCAGCCTCTCCCGGGGAGCCGCCTTCCTGGAGAGTCAACACGAGCACATCAACCTGGACGGAGTGGTCGGGTTCCTCATGCTGCAGGGTGAGAGCCAAAAACAGAGCCTCCTGTGTGTGTGTGTGTGTGTGTGTGTGTGTGTGTGTGTGTGTGTGTGTGTGTGTGTGTGTGTGTGTATACAGTATGTGTGTCCTCTCAGCTGCAGTAAACATCTGGAAACATCTTTGTATGTGTTTGCCAAGGGCAGTGGTAAAATGTAACTAAATATATGTATACAAGTACTGTACTTAAGTGCAATTGTGAGGTACTTGTACATTACTTGAGTATTTCTATTTTATGCTGCATGCTTTACTCGACTACAACTCAGATTGAAATATTGCACTACATTTATCTTCTTGATTTAGTTACTTTATAAATGAAGTCAATGGATCATTTTTGTGAATAAAATAAAATAAACATATTTATATAAACATAGATTAATAATGCCAAAGTTGTGTAAATATTCGACAGATTAGTAATTCATGCAGATAATTAAATAGTATAGCTTTGTCATTAGTGAAATAAAAGTAGGCTAAGAGATTAAACTACCAAACTATTCAGTGTGTAATTGCATGCCCTTCATATAGTGGGACGTTTTTAAGTTATTTTTATGTTATTTAAAATGTGAAGCAAGCGCTACAGTTTGCATGTGGATGCAGTTAGCTGATTTTTTTAAATCTTATTTTAATGTGTTTTTGTATATATTGTCTTTTTTATTTTACGATATCATCCTTGTTTGTGTCCGTAATAAATTCATTTCTACTGCTGTTAAAAGCAAGGAATCCAATCTTTTGATGTAGTGTTTTTGGAAATTCAATATGTCGATGTTCCTTCTTTCACATTTTGATCAACTATAAAAGTCAGTATCAGATACCAGCAGAATAAATGCTGCTGCTTTTTGACTTAAGTAAGAAAGGTGTATTACAACAGTGTGAAAGAGGGAAGGACATGTGCAGAAATGTGCCAGTCAGAATACAAAAGGAAAGGTTGCAAATATTATTATTGTATAAAGATTTCCTCTGCTGCTGACTGTGTCCCAGCTGAGCTGAAGGAGGCGGTGCGGACGTGGCCCCACAGCGACCCGGTCAGCTGGGCCCAGAGGACCTCCACCGTGGTTCTGGTCAAACGTTTGGACCGGAGCTTCGAGAAGGCCGTCACCGCCCTGCAGCAGAACGACCCCAAGTACTACAGAGGTGAGCAAGACGCCATTACCCAGGAGCCCTGTGGTGTGATGTTTGAACAGAAAACAAACCCTTTTACTCAACATTACATTTTTAGAGATTAAACATGTAAACAAAAAATTGGGTCTTAAATGTCTTTAAGCATATTTTGATCTTGATAAATCAAAAAATAAGTAAAGAAAATAAATAATAACATGTTACAGTTTTCATGGTACATTTGACATAGACTAATGCATAATAAGGAACAATTCCCTCAATATTAGTGTATTTTTCTGTGAATTAAGAAAAATAAATAAGAATAAGTAACTTACAAATATAAAAATCCTACAAAATGAATGTTTACCGGATGTGTGATTTACAGAGCAGATATATAATGTAGTAGAAATAGAACATACAATTGTATTTCTTCATTAATAAATGGTCTATGATGGTAAATACCTTTGTGTGTGTGCTGCAGAGTTTGAGCCCCTGCTGTCGTCGAGCTTCTATCTGATCCCTCAGGAGTGGCAGTCCACGGACACCAGCCTGGTGTATTCCTCCATCCTGAGCACCGAGTGCTATGACGAGCAGCTCAGCGACAAATGTCTGACGCTGCTGCTGGGAACCTGGTACGAACACTTATTGTCAGAGAGGAAAACACAACAGAGCACGACTTCATTACACAGACAGAAATATCAGAAAAAGTGATGTGACCTCGACAGAAGTAAGGTTTAAAACCTGTCTTCCTGAAACAAAAAGTATCTGTGTTTGTAAACCTCGGTCTAAAAGATTCAAAAATATTTAGTATCCTATGCAAAACAGCAACAGCGTTGGTGATAATAAATATAACCCCCGGCTTCTCCAACATACATTACATTTCATTTAGCTGACGCTTTTATCCAAAGCGACTTACAATTACCAATTACAGGGACTCCTGGAGTAACTAAGGACTAAGTGACTTACTCAAGGGCACACTTGTGGTGGTGTTCCTGGCAGGATTTGAACTCACAACCTTCCAATCTTCAGCACACCTCACTATCCATTAGACCACCACTATCCCATACAATATGCATTTCTTCAAATTTGGCACAAACATCCAGTTGGACTCAAGAAATAATTGATTAAAAGTTGTGGGTCAAAGGTCACTAACCCCAAAAAGAATTCAAACGCTAATTATGCTAATTTTACACGGATAGAAAATAGGATAAAATGATGAAGTGATGACATTTTGGGCAGACCTTGGATAATTTGATAGCTATGCCTTAGATTGTTACACTGTTGTTAACAGGATGTCAAATACATAATGTCCACATGACCTATGATATACTAGGTAAACTCTTCACTATCAAGATATTGATAGGGGTGTTGTTGGATTGTGAGTGAATTTACGTATGTGTGCGTGTGTGTGTGTGTGTGTGTGTGTGTGTGTGTGTGTGTGTGTGTGTGTGTGTGTGTGTGTGTGTGTGTGTGTGTGTGTGTGTGTGTGTGTGTGTGTGTGTGTGTGTGTGTGTGTGTGTGTGTGTGTGTGTGTGTGTGTGTACGTACGTGTGAGCAGGAAGATGAACGGGACGCCCTGCATTGTCACCAAACCCTGCCGGGACACCATGACACGTTTCGGCTGTCCGCACTACTCTCTGTCCCACCAGCTGCTCTACTTCATGATCGGGAACATGGTGAGAAGTTAAACTATCGAAATATCTCTATCACTCAAAATCATTGGTAACCATCACCTCCAAATGCACTAAGTTCTGAGCAGAAGCTAAAATAAAAACATGAATAATTGATTATTACTATTAATAACCTGCTGTGTGTGTGGGTCTCAGAGAGGCTGCACTAACATGCTGAAAGGAGACACCAGAGAGTCCCGCGCCAACATGACGGAGGGCAGCTACCAGAAGATCTACTGCTCCAACATGATGAAGGCCAACCAGGACATCTTTAGGGACGGGATCACCGAGCAGACGGTCGACATCTTCATTGAAAATAGTGAGTATATTATTTCAAATTCTTCTTCATTCTTTTTGTCACATTCGTGTGAACGCGACATCTTCGGGAAGCCTTGAGGGAGGTTCTTCAAATTCAGCCAAATGTAAACTTAGACTAGGATGAACAGATTATATTTTGCTGGTCAAAGGTCAATGGACAGTTCGACCTCACAAAACACGTTTTTTGCCTTAACTCAAGATCCAATACAGTACACCATCTATTACAATTTCTTACAAATATCAAATAGGTTAAAAGTATGTCATTATTTTGGACATTCATTGATGAAAAAGTTTGCATGTAGTGTGTATTACATCATGTGTTTCCTATAAATATTTCAAACTGCATATATTTTGCATATTATATAGTTTGGACTATCTTGAGTTCCTCTGCTCTTCTTCAACAGTCCTGATTTGTGGATTGTCTGGTTTCTCCGACTTCTACAAAGCTGATTGGCTGCAGCACATCCTCCGGCTGCAGGACGAGGAAGCGGGCTGCTTCGGGAGAGACAGTACGTGTTTAAAAATAAAGTTTTAAAATGCAACTGAATTGAAAATATCTCATTATCTCCAGGTACTGTAGCGTTACTGTCAAAGTACATGTTAAAGCTTAATCTTTTCAGTAAAAGGAATACTGCACACGAATAATCACCATTTGTATACTCTAGTCCAGTGGTTCTCAACTGGTGGGTCGCGGACCCGTTTCAAGTGGGTCGCGGATGTGTGAGTGAAGAAAAAAAATTGAAAAAAAAAATTGGAATTCTTTTTTTTTTTTTTTGGGAAAAAAGGCAAACTTTTATTTTGAAGAACCGATTTTCTAACGCTGTGCATGCAGTAGGCGTTGGACTGGAAGTACCGGAGACCATAAACGGTTTTGAAAACTTCTGTCACGTAGTGATTATCTTCTCAATAAAACATCTCTGCTGATGTTTTTTCGAGTCTTCTGGCCAATCAGAATCAAGATTGTTGCCGGAAGTCCCCACGGAAAATAACTTAGCGGTAGAACTATTCTTTATACATCCATGGGTACAACTTCAGATATAAATGAACACATAATGAAATATGACCCCCGGTTTGATGATTGACAGGTCACAGAACAATGGGAGCTATCTAACCTTACCCACAATTTAAAGTAAGTCACACAGACTATCTCCTCTTTACTCTTCTCTCAGCAAGCTGTCAGAACTAAGTGAAAAACAAACAATGGCATAAAATATTATTAATATGTATGATTTATTTATTTTCTTCTCAGAGTGTACCAGAATGCGTAGTTTATGTTAGTATTTCAAAAAATCTCCTGGGGGAGAATCCCCCCAGACCCCCTGCTGGGGTTGGGTTTTCAGCATGTGTGCCTTTTTATATAGTTCAGCTTTGATTCCATCATCTCATTAAACCTTTTTTAAAAGCATACTTTAGTTCTGTGAAGGGATATATGCACTGTACTTCACTTTTATTAATATTGTATTCTGAAAAGTGTATATTACAGCACGATTTTTTGTTGAATAGATTTGGGTGCTTCAAAATGTTGGGTCCCGAGGCCTAACCAGTTGAGAACCACTGCTCTAGTCTACTGTTCGAGTACTGTTCATACGCAATTTGAAGTGCTTTTAAGTGCAGTTTTGTTAAAAATCCAATGTGTTAGTGAAGTATTAAGCATTGACTAGATAAATGGGACTTGTATTATACTGCACTAGTAGTATGAGAGTTTTATGTTTTCATGTACGGTAGTTGTGCTGTTGTTAAACGCCACTCCCTTTTATTTTTCAATTCAATACTTTTCTTAGTTTATTTGTTAAGTATCCAAGGTTACATGGGGTTAATGTTGTATATAAAATGATTTTGGGGTTGAATTTTTCCTTTGATGTTATACTAAGTATCCGTCCTGTCTGGTGGAGGTTACACATATTAGTAAATGTAGAGATAATATTATTACTTGAGAGATGTTACCTGCTGTTTCTCAGAGAGCATCATGTCTCAGATCATCGGAGACGAGCTGCTGGAGCAGCTGCAGCCTCACCGGAGAGTGAAGAGGAGGGAGAAGATACTTCCAGGTACTCGCATGGTATATCATATTAAAGTCTAATAGATAGGAAATGATTGCAATTTCAGCTGTGAAAGTTGAAAAAATAAATAACTAATCAAAGCTAACTTTCTGCCGAATACAAAGAAGACAGCTTTTATCAGATTCTTGATCCCGTACCAGTGCGACTGACCTCACTCCTTTTAAAACAAATTATTATCAGCACTTTTTTGGTTTAAAATCTGAAGTCATTTTACTGCTGTTATGTGTTGACTTTCATAAACAGTTTGAATGCAAATGAAAGTTGCAGAATCGACTGTACTTATGGTATTTTTGTGTTATCATTTCCTGTTTCTGGCTCTTCTATTAATTTTTATAAAAATAATAATGATAACACTCATTGCTTCACTTTGAATGTGACTCCTCAGACGGCTGCTCCAGTCACATGACGGCGGTGGCGGTGGGCGCTCTGGGAGGATACCTGAACTACTACCTGGCAGAACAGGACATAACCAAGAGGCCAATCTCCTGAACGCCCCCCCATCAGGTAGCGATGCTCTTCACTGAGAGACTCCCGACACAACATGATGTTAATGAATATAGGTTGTAAGATGATGAAAATAGAATGTAGCTGTTTGTTAGGCACCAAACTAAATGTATTTATTGATTCTAATGATCTTTAAAGTGTATTAACCCCAAACAATGTATCTTTTGAAAGTAGCGATGCTCCCATTCAGCGGGAAACCATATGAAGTCGCATTTACTCTTTAAAAAGTAGCTTTAGTCGTTTTTGTCTACAGAACCAGGAAGTACCTTTAGGATGTTTTCTGTCTGTGATGCAACAAGCTAGCTAAAGATTGAACCTTTTTTTTTTTTTTATCCGGATAACAACGTGTCAGATTCAGCTTTTTACCACACGGCTTCTTAAACAGTTCCACGTGTTATGGTCGAATGTATGCTGACCAGTGCTGGAAAGTAACTAAGTACATTCACTCAAGTTTATTTTTCTTAAATTCTATTTCCTGCTACTTTATTATTATTTTATTATTTATTTCTATTCCACTTATAAAAGGTGGTAAATATTGTATTACATTACATTTGTGTGACAGCTTTAGAAGATTCAGATTAATAATACGAAATATAATCATCAAATAATTGATAATACTTTGGTTCTTTTCTATCAGAGTATTCATAGTTGTATTGAGGTATTCGTTTTGTCGTGATGTCATCTCCTGGTTGGTACCTTCGTCTAATTTGATGTAAAAATGTTAGGGATGCACAATTTGGATTTTCTTAGCGGATACCGGTACCTAATAATGACCTGCTTCAGAGATGAGGGGTTAAACAATAAGTTCATACTAGTAGTTTAGGCACACCTGAGGCTAAAGTGTAGCATGTACAGTATAATCTAATACTACAAAGCTCTGAGATAACTTAATCTAACTAACATCAACATTGATTGACTTCTTACACTTCTGACATTGTTATTAATGCCCTGTTTTGCTTTTTCTTCTGTGTCTTCTTTTTTTTGGCGGGTCACAAAGCAACTTGTGTAAATGTGCATAACATCCCCGACTGCATCAGAGTGTGTAGATGCTGTACTTGTTAAATGAATTTGGCTTTGTATTATGAGCTATACATGAATTATCTGAATAAAAGATTATAATAATAGGCGTTTACAGTTTTCTGCACTATATGTGTATATTTCTCAGATGCTCCGTCATCATTGAGACAAGAATCTAGGTGGGAAAGACACCGGCTGATTTTGGAGGATGGATACAAGTATAACAAGGTGTGAGGACTTATAGGAAATTGTTATATTTGATAACTTTCTTATTCTGAACATTTTAAAATGGCAATGCTGGCATCCCAATTCAGACCTGGGAAAGGTGTAAACCATTTGAGATGATATTCAATAATCGGGCTATCATTCAAATATACTGACCTTTAGTCGTTGTTTCCTTTAGCTTTGTGTCTGCAGGATCTGTCTGTACAAATGTGTGACTGATTGGAGCATCCTTTTTAAAAGGCCATGAAATATTCACTTAAAGAAAAACATCGTAAGCTGTTTTTTCTTCCAAAAATATTATCTTTATTTTCTTTAAATTATTTGTATCTACTGAATATAAAGCTAGAAGGCAGCTGTACAACCAGCACTGAGCAAAGAGGACATCTGTAGAGGGACTTACATACAAAATGTCTGCTTTATATTTATGTATATATACACATGATATCCTCTATAGCGGTACAAAAGTAGTACTGATAATAAAAGTACTAAATAAATATGAATGTCTGAGAGTCTGTGAAGTGAAGCAAAGATGCCATTACATTGAGAAAGAACACAAACTGATTATGTCACATCTGCTGCAGCCATCTTTTTGCCAAAACTCCCCCGGATTCACTCAATTTCTAAATAAAAGCTTCACCTGGGGTGTGAGTTTGACGAGAGTCCAAAAGCTGCCCGAAGGAGTCAGAACTGGGAACTGGATTTGATTCCCAGGAATAACGAGCTTGCACAGCAGGCCTTGTTATGCTGTCTCTGTGCCTCTGTGCCATGCTCCATTATCCTTCAAACTGGTAAAACACCTCATATGTTGCAGTGACTCCTGTCACTTGTTCCAGCCAATGACCTCGTAGAAAAGCGCCTTGAGCATTCTGGCCTCGTAGGTGACGGTGTTCTTTCCGATGTGGGTGAGGGTCTCCTCCAGAGGCTGCTCGATGATGGCCGTGACCTCCTTACCGTACACTACAGGCGAGACACACTGATGTTAACTCACACTCAACAACATACCATTTGTTATTTAGGTCCTATTACATATATTGTAAAAATAATTATGTTTATGCATCCTATTTTTTATTGTTGTTCTCACTGTCATTTTATTCAGATATGTAAAAAAAAATATATATATGTTTTACAAATTCAAATGACCGCCTTCACTAGTATATGAGAAGAAATATAAAACTTTTTTTTTTAAAAGGAGAAGGTAAAGCTTCTGTCAGCTGCAATCATGTATTGTGGGTTATATATCTTCCCCAAAAGGTCTGTCTCCTACATCCACATTCCTTTTTAGAGTTCTCCATAACAATCCCATGACCTTGAGAAAACAAAAGTTGTTTTCTTGTGATAAATGATCTTGTTATCTTGAGAAAGCAGATACTTGTTTTGTCGTAAGTCCACATGAATAAACCCATCTCACAAGAAGACAAGCTCTAGTATCTCTTGACAATAAATGAATAGCTCTTTATATTCTTAAAGGCTAACACTTTGACTTTCAGGTTTTGCCAGAATGTTAACTGTAAAATCCACAAAGATCAGCACAGAGCTGCTAACGTTAGCCTGCGCTGACCCAGCTGTTGTGCAATGTGTTATCTGCTATTATGAAAAGCAGTAAACCCACAAAGTGTTGTCGCTAAACAAAGATGGCTGACACTGGAAGTAGTGTTAGGTTTGTGTCTGGGAACTAGTTAGTCGGAAATGCTCAGTGTCGCTTAGCTAAGAAAATAATGATGTTCAGTATACAACCAATTCCGACCTGATGGTGATGCTGCAGAAAATATCCAGGGATAGAGGCTACATCTGGCTTCCAAAAATAGGAAGCCAGATTTCAGTTTTATAAATGACTGTCAACAGTAAATGTGAAAACATATGGATCTGTGCTCTCTCAAAGGATAAATAGTGTTTGTTGCAAACTGAAACATCAATTATTGTCACAGGCCAGCGGGCCAGCACTTTTGTAGGTGTGTGTGTGTGTGTGTGTGTGTGTATGCTGCTTACCCTCGCAGTGCTCCAGGAACTGGATACACTCCTGTACCACGGCGTCCCTCAGCATGACCATGTGTTTGGACATGTTCTCCAGCAGGGAGAGGAAACAGCGCTTGGCGTAGAACCAGGTGTCTGTTCCCAGCTACACACACACACACACACACACACACACACACACACACACACACACACACACACACACACACACACACACACACACACACACACACACACACACACACACACACACACACACACACACACACACACACACACACACACACACACACACACACACACACACACACACACACACCACACACACACACACACCACACACACACACCACACACACACACACACACACACACACACACACACACACACACACACACACACACACACACACACACACACACACACACACACACACACACACACACCACACACACACACACACACACACACACACACACACACACACACACACACACACACACACACACACAAAATATATATATTTATTTATGTTGGGGTTAAAAAAACGTTGTTACACCATTGTGATATTAAAGTTATTATTGTGACACAAAAGATCATCTCTTTACAGAAGGATATGTGGCAGAGATTTCTTCCTTCTGTTGGAAGGAGTTCAGACATGGTGGTCAGATTGCTTGGTTGAATGTATGTGGCTCCACAGGCTCACATTCCTGAACTCCTCTCTGATTTCACAGTGAATGTGAGTCTATGGTGGTGATTTGTACGAGGCTGAGAGGGGGCAACACTCGGGATGACAGCCTGTGTTCTCAGCTGGAGCTTCAGTGGACTCAGCTGCAGCCAGTGTCTGATGTTGTGACTGGATCAGATCAAAAGAGACTCTTCTCCGGGGGGGGGGGGGGGGCACAGATGGTTATTTTTGGTTCAAAAGAATGAATGTTTGTATTTTAAATGAGCACTTTCTTGTAGTTGTGTTTATGGTCTCCTGTGTATTACTCACACACATACGGCTTGCTGCACAATAAACAACAAACTATTTCCCTTAAAATATGTATTGAATGTTTACTGTTTTTATTACATGACTTAGTTGAATACTCAAATCTGATTGGTCAATTTGGACATTCCAGAGGTTTTACATTTTCAATAACAGAATAAGGAGAGCAGGCCGTTGCTAAGGAGAATAGACCGCTGCTTCGACCACCCTGTCGGTGTGCTTTTCTCATTGATGACCGTCTCACACGTTGCACATTATCCCTTTCTTAAAGCATTTGCTACAAACTTTCTAAAAAAAGAACCCAGGGAACAATGGAATAACTGACCTTCTTATTGTAAGGCTCCAGGCTCTTGATGACACGAGATATGCCAAAATCATAGTTTCCCTTAGCACAGTACAGCGTCCTGAAAAAAAAACAAATTTAGTCAGAACAGCAATACTTACTAAAAGGTCCTTTTTACCATTCTATAATATGTTGACATTCCTTCCTTTTTCTTCCACCTTGAAAGGAACTTGCTTAGGTCAGTTGATGTCATCCTGGCAATCTGCTGAAAATGTCTTTGGGATACGTTTAAAAGCTTCAGGAAAAGCTCAAAAGCGAACCGTAAGTTGCAAGATTTCTTATACAGATTTGGATAATCGTCACAAAGTAACTTAGTCTCTTAAAAGTATCCTAGCCAAGCTGTTGATTTACACACAAAGATTGTGATGAAAAGAATATATAACTGCTGCATATAGGAACAAGGACGGATGAATCCTGATTGCATGATAAATGAGCTCAGGTTTAACATAAATTAGATTATTTCTTTCTTAACATATTTTTTCTGTATTTATTAATGATAGTATTTATTGAACAATGCCTGATGTGTTTATTTGATGATAAACACTTTGGGTCTCCATAAGTGTGAACTTTATAGTAAAGGAACTTTGTTTTGGTTCCAGGGCTAAAATGAGTTTTGAAAGCCAGTCTAATGCAAACAATGAACACGCAGTCCTAGTTAATACACATGACATCTTTTTAAATTCATGAGGTTCTTGGTGGCGAAACCTAATAAGCAACGTGAAAGCAGATTTTTCAAGCTGTAAACTCACCCGATGACCAGGTTGACGATGCAGAGGTGGAACACCTTCTTGTCGGGGTCGTCGTAGGAGATCTGCTCTTCCTCCTTCTCGATCTTCCTCATCAGCTCTTCAGCCTGTAAGACAACGAGAGGAGGAAACAGAGGGGAAACTGGACTTTTTATACTGAAGATAAAGATTACACGACAAACATTATTACCATACAGAGACACAAAGAATAGAAGTAAAATGAAAGTAAAATCCCTCTGAAATATATTTAATTAAAAGTATATAATAGAAAAAGGTGTACTAAATTACAGTACATTGTTTTATGTTTAATCTCTGTGAACAGTACCTCCTCATTCTGGCTGGTCAGGATGTAGGACACACACAGGTTGGCCAGGACCACAGCGCTCACATTCAGGATCTACAATGGGACACACACACACACACACACACACACACACACACACACACACACACACACACACACACACACACACACACACACACACACACACACACACACACACACACACACACACACACACACACACACACACACACACACACACACACACACACACACACACACACACACACACACACACACACACACACACACACACACACACACACACACACACACACACACACACACACACACACACACACACACACACACACACACACACACACACACACACACACACACACACACACACACACACACACACACACACACACATTTTTTGTTAACTTTACAATATATTTACAACACTCAGAATGTAACAAACTTCAAAACCAATCCAGGGTGCGTGCAAGTTTCCACAAACTGATTTGAGGTTATTTAGAA